ATTTCTTGATCACCCCCACCTCAAAGGTTTGGAGACAAACCGCAGAGAGTGAAAAGACGATGTAGACATTCTTTTGTATTTTTTAAAACCAAAGTTTGGTTTTATGTTACATGGAGTTTAGTTGCCCTTTCTTTGTTAGTTACAAGAACTTTTCAGCTTGAGCTGGAAAGGTTTTGCACACTTGCATGACTTTTCTGGGGTTACTGTACCTGTAGCTACCAGTTCCTTTGTCATTCTGCTAGTCTTCAGTTCTCCTCTCTGGCGTTAGTTCTCAGCTATGGCATTACAGGTGCTCTAAAGGTATTTTTTCCAGCCGTGAACAGGCCACGCCAATTTTAATGCTCTTATATGAACACTGAGGCTTTTTGAGTTTTTGTATTCCTCACTCCTTACCCCAGAAGTGATGTCCTTTCAGCAAACACAGAGAAGGCTGTAGGCCAGCTTCTCTCTTTGGGGAGTCCTCTGAGAAGGAGCCTTGAGACTTTTAGAGCTTGAGTTTCTTCCTTTCTAGCGTTGGACTGTGAAGAGATGACTTGGCTTCTTCCCATTCCGTTTGCTGTTGAACAGTATTTCCAATCCCCCAAAGGATTTCAGTGTCTGCATTTCATACAGACGGGTTTTAATGCCGCCAGCCCCCCCTCCCCCAGCTCTGGGTACTGAGACTCCTCCACAGGCAACTCTTCTGATTTCTCCTTTCCCTCACTCCTCCTTTAATTCTTCTTTTCACTTGGGGTTGTGTTTATTTGCAGCTCATGGTCTGAGACTTGAATAAAGCTGCAGTGGTGCAGCGGTGAGCGAAGGGCAGGCTGGGAGGGAGTTGGAGTGTGTGCTACTCATCGGTTTCACACTTGGTTGTCACAATTTACTGTATTTTTTACTTTTTTTTCTGTTGCAGTTTTGCTAATTTATCAGATGGTCCAAATGTTTTGACATAACTATTTCAGTTTGCATTATTTATTTATGATGCTTTTTGTCATTGTCTTTTATACATTTGCGATTATAAATTATGTACATGTTAAAATTAGCATCTCAAAGAAGTCTGTTACCCATGGTCAAAAAAAGCAGCTCGTTTATATTTTCATGGAATTTATTCCCAGTTTACTGGATTGGATGATTTTTTTTTAAAGTATGTAACCAATCATAATGCAACCCCTCTGGATAATTAAATGTGTTCTATTTAATAACAGTCTTGTAGCATAGATACTGTATCACTATTGACAGATTTCTTAGAAATGCTGCTATCTCTATTTAACTAACATTTTGTTCAGTTTTTGCCTCCAGTGGAAGCAGAAAGGGTTTTTTCAGCTGTTAAATCCAAAATCAATATAATTTATTTATGTAAAAAAAAAGTCACGATTGATATATTTTTGAACCTTTTAAGTACTAACTTTGTTTTTATTCAGTGGAAGAACATGTACTTGCCCTAAATCCTTAAAATACAAATGCTATAAAACTTCATATATCCTCAAAGCCTTACTGTGAATGGATATAGAAATCTCTTCCGAGTTCATTTCTTGTTAAGGGATGGTTTTTCCAGGGTTACACGCGTAAGGAACAGGGTTTAAAGTGAAATTTATTTAATTAGCCAGCATGCTCTATACCTTGTTCTTTCTTAGCAGACATGTATGCTATCTCTCTGGGTGTTTAGGCTTCTCTTTGCTACTTTGTGACCCTTTTGCAACCCGGTATACTCTGTGGATTATTTAGATTGTAAGGCGTAAGTGGCTGCTTCTTCTTTTCCATCATATCCCAAACAAACGCCAAATTTTCACCGGTTTTCATGGCTACTCACACACATACATCCTTCACCAAATGTGCTAACAAAATAAACTGTCTGTGCTCTTGAACATGGATAAAAAGAAAAAGATTTAAAAGTCAGATTTTTATTTTTTTAATTTAGTGACTAGATGATGCTTATCTTTCAGACTTGGCAGAGCCTTGCTACAGATGTATATAATTTTTTTCAGCAAATATATGTGAATGTTTAATTCACCTGACTCAGTGATAAACGTGACTTGCCTTTTTCTCAGCATGAGTCCGTTGAGAAGCTGTCAAACCCAGTGGCCTGCTCCCTGCTTCAGGGTTGCTCTTCGTGCCCCGTGCGTTACTCCGGGGAAGGGCTACTCGCAGTGGGCACATCAGCTTTTCCTGCCACAGGAGGAGGTTACTGGGCTGCACCCTGGCTCTCACACAGTGCCCTGGGGGTTAACTGACTGTGCTGTGGGAGTTAACTTGCTGTCCTGCAAGGTCCCAGGACCAGATCGAGCTCCAGGGCCAGTTTAAACACAGAGGATATACAGGGTACCTGCTCTGTCCAGAGGCTGGGTGGAAGCCCAGAGACTTCCACAGTCCTCACACACACCCACACACCCCTGCCCCAAGCAGTTCCTGTCTGGTTTTTATCTGATGGGACACAGAGATGTCTCATGACACATTTAGACAGGATCTCCAATTCCCTTTATGGTCACAAAAAATGGGGAAGGATTTCCCTCAGCACTGACCTGTGGATGGGGGAGCTTTACCTGCCCCAAGTGCAGACTGGGCTCTTTACAGTTACAAGAAAGGATTTGGGGTGGAAATCTTAGCCAGCAGTGAGCAGAGGGCAATTTCTCTAGTGACATTTGGTTTGTATTGAAGAAAACTTGAGCTTTTCAGTGCATTTTTGTTTTCTGCCTCTTCGGAAGCCAGTTTGGTCCCAGGGCTCTGGAGCATGGGCTGAGTCACAAGACCATGAATTCTCCTCAATTTTTGCAACCTCAGAGAAATATTGGGCACTGTACCACAGGTAAAGGCACCATTTGTGGTCCCCGAGTGCCTCAGACCCCGTGTGCCAGTGCAGAGCTGCCCACGGCGCCGGTGCTCGGCCATGGGCACTGGACAGATGGGCAGCACTGCCAGGGAAGGAGCCCAGCTGCCTGCAGAGCAGCAGCTCTGGAGAACTGGAGGAAGAGAAATCTGGCCTCTCTCTCATTCCCCTTCCCATCTATTGGCACATCGTGCCCTATACACTTGTATACCAGGCCTGGGAACATCCTCCTCACCCTCCCGTGTGGCTTTTTGGGGTGTTGGTGGTTTCATGGTGCACCCAGGGGTGGCTGGAGGTGCAGTGCCAAGGTGGAACTAATTCCTGTAGAATTCAGATTTCACCCCAAAAGGTTTAAACAATGCAAGATCTCCAGCCCAGCAGAAAATCGTTTGCAGTCCCTGTGTTGCCTTGTTCACCCTCCAGTGGGATTTTAATTCATGGAACAACTCCATACAGCACCACTACCTGGCTCCACTTGCCAGTAGTCTGGGTAGGATGGGATGTTACTGGTTTAGCCTGGAACTCAATCCCAGTCCCAGCCTGGTTGAATGCAAGCACATGCCCTTGGAGGGTTTCAAGGAATTTCAGCGACCTAGACTTGTTGCAGGAGCAGCTAAGGGGAGTGAGAGCTGTGGCAGATACTCCAGTCTGTCTCTGGGCTCCTGCCAAGCATTGGCTGTCAGGTTTTTCAGCTGGCTGTGCTGTATTGCCAGCACAATTGTTCAGGGAGACATTGTACAGGAATTGTCTGTATCATTTGGAAAGACAAAATTTGAAAGGAAAACTTCACAGTGACTTTTCTTTTTTCCCTAGAAAAGGGCAAAAATTTCTGATAGAGGAACGGTTGCACAAAAAGCAAAGCTCAGTTCACCCCAAGGAAGGCAAATCTCTGGTCCTGCAGGAATAAATAAGTCTGCGGGACTCTTAGCCTCATTATCCAAAATTAAACACATTTCCTGGCTGTTCAGAGCAGGCAGTTTTCCGTGCTCTTATAGCAAATCTTTTCGCAAATATATTTAGGTATTGGATTAAGGGAAGTAACATTTCGCGGAAAGTAACCTGGAAAGCACGGAGCTGAGCTGGTTCTCGGTGATTGACCGCCTCCGCCGGCCTGTGGATCCCACGAATTGATCCCTGTGCTTTGCAAACGGACATTTTCAAGAAAACCAGCCCCGGGATGTGTGTGTGGGGCAGGGGCACGGCAGGGGCTGCTGAGCGGGCGGGGGGCACCGCGGCCGGGTCCCTCCGGCGGCTCCGGGACGCGCCTCTGAGCAGCAGGTCCGGGGAGCAGGGTGCGGGTCCAGCCCCGCGCTGGCCACCCGCGCTCGCTCCGGGCTCGCTCCGTGTGTTCTCTGTCCCACGCCCTCCCAGCAGCAGCAGCTGGCTCGGGGAGCACCACAGCATGGTGGTTCAAGTGTCCTCCGAGGTTACGCGGGTTCAGAGCCGTGTTCCCTGTGCCCGAACCAGCGCTGCGTCACCCGAGCCCCTTCAGGGCTGCGGGAGCTGCTCCGCTGCCCACGGGGACACTTGGTGCTCTCAAGGAGGGCTCTGGCCATCGGCGCTGGTCAGTGCACGGCCGGGATGGCAGCGGGGCTGTGCCCCGGGACACGGGAGCGCTGCGGGGGCGAGGGGGAGCCCACCTGCCCCCGCCCCACGGCCCCACGCGGGTCACGGGGCGCTGCGGGACCGCGGCGAAACCCGCTCCTGCCTCAGGCTCCCGGAGCCGCGCGCGCAAGCACCGCTGTGACACGCGTGACAGCGAGTGACAGCGAGTGACACGCGTGACAGCGAGCACCGCCCCACGCGCGTGTCCGTGTGCGCTCTGTTTGCTTTGTGTGCGCTGTGCCCGTGTTTGCTCTCTGCTGCGTCTGTGTGCTCTGCATGTGCTGTTACTGTGCGTGATCTGTCTGTCTGTGTGCGTTTGTGTGTCCGTCTGGCCGTGTCTGCCTGTGTCTCTGTCTCTCTATCTGTCTGTCCGTGTATCTGTATATCCGTGTCTGTCTGTGCCTGTGTCTGTCTGTGCCTGTGTCTGTCTGTGCCTGTGTCTGTCTGTGCCTGTGTCCGTCTGTCTGTGTCTCTCCGTGTCTCTCTGTCCCGACCCCGCTCGTTTCCGCGCGTTTCCCGCCCCCCCCGGCGGAAGCGGCCCCGCCCTTCCGGCGGTTTTGGCGCGCGGCTCTGGGGCGGCAGCCCCGCCATGGCCCGCCCTGGCCCCGCCGAGCCCGGGGCCGCCGTCGAGCAGCTCTGCCGGGACCTCAACCTGGACGCGGCGAGCGCGGCCGAGGCGCTGCGGGACTTCACGGCGCTGCGGGGCACCTACAGCCTGGAGGTGAGCGGGGCGGGGGCGGCGGGGCCGGGCCGGGGTCCCGGCCGAGCCCCGGCTGAGCGCCGTGCCCGCTGTGCCCGCAGGGCGAGCCGCTGCACTGGTTGGCCTGCGCGCTGTACGTCGCCTGCCGCCGGAGCCGGGTGCCCACGGTGGGGAGCGTCCCGATGGAGGGGAACGGCGTGTCCCTGACCCGCATCCTGCGCTCCGCGCGCCTCAGGTGAGCGCCGGGCTAATTAATTACCGCCGGGGCTGATTGCACAGCGCCCGTCAGTCCCTGCGCTGCCAAAGCCGCTGGCCCGGGACCGCTCCCGGTGCTCCCAATCGCAGCACCCGAGGCAGAGCTGGGAAAGCAACAAATCCGCGGGTGTTACAGATGGAAATTGGATGTAAATACGTAATTTTCAACTTCAAGCCTTTGGGAGACCACCCATGTCGGACCAGCAGTTCCACCCACGCCGGTTGTTTCTCGCTGTAGTTAATTTGACCGCAAACACCTCGGCGTTGCCGTAGCGATCTCGATAGCACGCGTGTCTGACTCAGGATTCAGGGCAAATCCCACGGGAGTGCTGGCGGCTCCCAATTGTTCTGGGAACACAGCATTCCCCCTCTGCACGGCCCCGGCAGCAGCCCCCCTGCCCCTGTGGCTCTGACCGGGGAAGACAGAGCTGGAACGACAGAGCTCGGAATGTTTCTCGTTCGGTTTAAAGACCCGCTCCCGGCTGAGCTGCTGGAGGGGGAGTGCCAATTAATTACACCCAGAACTAACAGGTTTTTGTGCAGGTAACTTTGACAGCTCTTGCTTGTTTGTGGTTTTGCTGCCTGTCCTGCCTCCCCCTCCACACATGCAGAGCAGCATGTGATTTTTCCTTTCCACTCCTCCCCTGCCCAACACAGCCATGCTGGCAGCCACTGCATCAAAGTAGTGTTCCTGTGCCTTAAAGAGGGTCAAGGAGAAACTCCAGAGTGATAAAAGGCAAAAAGCTTACAATATGTACAGTTTGGGAGTCTGTCAAAAAAAGTGTAAATCTACATAGTAATCTAATCAGTCATTAAGGAGTAAATATGTTGCATTTTAGAAGATAGTTAAAGCTCAAAGCAGACCTTTCTTTTTTCTTTAAAGTTTAATTCAGTTTTTTAGCAAAATGAAGAAGTGGATGGACATGTCAAACCTACCACAGGAATTCCGAGAGCGAGTGGAGCGGCTGGAGAGAAATTTCGAAGTGTCAACTGTGATTTTCAAGAAGTTTGAACCAATATTTTTTGATGTATTTCAAAACCCTTATGAAGAAACTTCCAAGCCGCAGCGAAGCAGGAAACAGAGGTATGAGATTTTGAGATTTAATGTGACTTTTCCCTGGAAAGAGTTATACCCAGTACAGATTTGTGAAAATGAAGTTCTGAAGAGATGGGGCCTCTTTGACCCTGAAACCCAGCACATGCAGAGCCAGCCCTGACCCTGGGTGGGGACAGCTCGCGTCCCCAGGGCTTTGCATCCCGCTCCCTGTCACACATGGGAAGGTCTGTGTGTGGGGCAGAGGTGCCAGGAGGTGGGTTAACTTCAAGGCGCAGTGAGACCAATGCTCTAAACGTTTAGCAGAAATAAGTAAAGCGGCCCAGGGGTGTTTTGTCTCGGCACAGCGCAGGCAGGCAGCTGGTGTGACAGGACCCCTCTGTGCTACAGTGATACATCCTCTGTTACATCCCCGGTGACCTGCTGGGTCCTTGCTGTGGTTGCCAGATGAGGGAGGAAGTTACAGCTGATGTGCTAATTTTTATGACAAATTTGGTGGTGTCATCTTCCACACACACATGGAAGTTCTGCCTTAATTAAAGGAGGCAATTAATTGTCTGTGTTCCTTGTGGAGTGTGTGGCTGTTGCTGTGACATCTTTGTAGTGAGAGTGTAACCCTGGGGATGAGGGAGCGAAGCTGTGGCTCTGCGGGGTGTTTTTTCAGCTCATGTGGGTTCTCTGGATGTGAGAGGGGATAATTGTTTTGGTAAAATGCTCTAGTGTAGCTCCATGACTACAGGTAGAGTGTAGTGGGAGAAGTTTTATTGGGTGCTTTCTTTGTGTCCCTCAGAGCAGCATTGGGCAGCATCACCGTGGCTTTGGCTCCTCTGTGGGCTGTCCTGAGTAATGCCTTCCCTGGTCTTCCAGCTCCCTGGGTTTGGATAATCTCTACCCCAAATGGGATTCAGCAGCTGAGCTGTAGTACAAGCTGTAATCGTGTGTTCTGATGACTGATGCTTTAGTAAAATATTTAGGAAAAACCATCACTGGCATATATATAGCCCTTATCATCTCACCATCTGTGGCTGCAGGAGGGTTCTGTGGGAGATGTGACACCAGCGGAATAGTGTGGCAGGGTCAGAGGCAGCCACTGGCTTGGAAACAGGGTCAGGAGGTTGTGAATGCTGTGCAGGATGCCCTGTGGAGCCAGGTGGGAGGCTGTTGACTGAGCCTTAGTGTGAAATTAAGACAACAGCTCCAGCTGTTACTTTGAGCAGGGAAATGGCATGAAATTCCTACTGTAAAACAAGGTTCAGCTTTCTGGAACTGAAGAGTGACTTCTCCCCACTTTTCCTTGTTGCCAGGCGGGTACCATGCAGTGTCAAAGATCTCTTCAACTTCTGCTGGACTCTCTTTGTGTACACTAAGGGTAGGCTTGCTTGCTTTAGCTGCATGATTTGGATACATTCCCAGCTGTGAACTTCTGTTGTGTTGCTTGACGTGATGTGCTGTCTCTTCAAGGTAATTTCCGTATGATTGGAGATGATTTAGTAAATTCCTATCATTTGCTTCTGTGCTGCTTGGACCTGATTTTTGCCAATGCCCTTCTGTGTCCAAACAGAAGAGACTTGCTAAATCCATCATTTAAAGGTATGGTGGGGAAAGATTTTTTACAATCAAATGAGATTTTTTTTTTCTCTTGGTTCATTTGAAATGAAGTTGAAGGTTGGTTGTCTTCCCCCCCCCTCCTTGTTCTCAGGCTTACCAGTGGAATTCCACGCTCTGGAGATCAAAGCCTCTGAAGACCCTCCCTGCATCATTGCCACGCTGTGTGAGCTGCACGACGGGCTCCTGGTAGAAGCAAAAGGCATAAAGGAACACTACTTCAAACCATACATTGCAAAGCTGTTTGATAGGAAGGTACATCTCACTAATTTTGTGAGTGCATGGTGGTGCCCCATGATGGCTCTCAAGACCATTTAGGTCCTGTGGGTTCCTCAGGGAAAAGTGCAAATGAGCAAAGGAACTCAGGCTGGTTCAGGTTTTCTTTGTCTGTATTTTAGCAGTAACAGAATTCACTCTCAGCTTTTAATGCTGTGTGCTGTAAGGTCTCCTCTGTTTTGGCTTTTTATGTCAGTGGAGAACCTTTGCTTTCCTTTCTCGGCATTGTGAAACTGAATTATTAAAGGTGGTGTTTTCTTCAGGCAAAAAAATGTGATCTCCTTGTGAAATAGTTTTATGGGATGTCTGTTATGGTAGTGTGGGTCCTGCTGCTTGTCTTGAAGTTGAGCAAAATGCTTTGGAAGGAAGAGGTTGAGGTCGCAGGTGTATGAACTGTTCCGTCTAGTTTTGATCCTGGAAATGTTTTCCAAGGTCTGGAAGTTTCTGTGTAGTTGTTTGTAAGCTCAGTCCCTAACCTGGCAGTGAACAGATACTACACTGTAGAGCTGTGTCTGAAGAGTGAGTTCATCTGGAGCTTTGTCCTGATAATGGCACTGTAGCCCTTTGGTCTAGGCAAAAAAACCCCAAAAAAGTCCAGTTATGCACCTCAATCTCATTTCCTTTTTGACTAAAACCATCATGTCCTCACAATTGGAACAGTTTTGATTTTATTACATAAGATATTTCTGCTTTTTATTCTTAGATCTTAAAAGGAGATTGTCTGTTGGATCTCTGCAACTTTACAGAAAATAGGTAAGTTACAGCTTTTGTTCTTAATCATGGGGCTCGGTTTCATGTCTAAAGCACTGGCCTTTGTGTACTAATTTCAGGTTTTCCTGTTTCTTTGTCTTACCATATCTAATGGGTTTTTGATTATTGACCACCAAAGCTTCTCTCTGGCTGAAATGCTTTTTCGTTCCAAGATGTGGCCAATGTCAAGGGTTCAAGCTGCAGAGGTTCTTCCTTGCTGTCAGGTTTTTTGGTGCTTGCTCTGATTTTCTGGTGACTAACCTTTGAGTAGTCTAATACAAATCAAAGCCTTGGCTCTGACGTGTACAGATGTATTTCTGTACACATATTATGCCCAGGTGGGGAAGTGTTTAAATTCATTTGTCAGTCTCTAATTGAGTGTATAAATCTGTGGATGCAGCAGAAGGACTTCAAAGAAAAAGAAGAAACAATTGCAAAACCACAAAAGAGGTGTAGTGTTTCTGTGGGAGGCGAGTGTAATTGTTTCAGAAACTTTTTGAATTCACTTCTGAAGGTTAATTTAAATGCAAAATAGGAACAGGAGCTGCTTTGTTCTGGATCCCTTACGGTTTGGGGTTTTTTTTGCCTTTTGCAAAAAAACCTATTATTTTTTTTTTTGCTAGGTTAGCTCTTAACTTGTTGGTTTTTTGGGAATTTTGAGATAAGACATGATTGTTCTAACAGTGTAGATAACACTTCAATTTAGATATAAACTCATGTATAAACTGGGATCCATTGAATATGCAACTTTTCTTAGTATTTCTACTTAAAAATTAATAGTCTTACATACAGTAGTCCCTGTTCTTTTGAAAGTAGCCTGACATTTAAAAGAAGCATGGAAGCCTGTTAGGGTTTGAGGGTTTTTTTGTCCAAACCTTCCATAGTTGTTTTTTTCTTTTTTCTTTTCCACTTTCTTTTTTTTTTCCTAAAAGACATGGGGAAAGTGAACCTGTGATACAGTCAGGTTTCCTGTGGGATCACAGAGTTGCTTTTGTCATGATTACATTATGTTCCACTAATATGTCTGCTTCAGTGGTAGCTGGAACTGCATTCCTGGCCCGTGGAAAAGCTGCAGACAGGATTTATTGATGTGAGCCATTTCTGATTTTTATCCAAAAGTTCCATTCCATTTCCTAAGTGTAAATTTAAAGCTTTGCAACCTTGGTGGGATTAAACATTTCTGTTTTCCAATTGGGTTAGCTGGAATAAAGAGGGTGGAGGATTTGTTTGGTCTCCCTGTCCCTTCTGCTGCACCATTAGAAAAATTATGGGCTAGGGAGTGGTAAAACCAGAAATCCAGTGGAGGTGAATGCAGCTCCCATTGGTGTGCTCTGTGTGTTCACAGATTTAACCTCTGATCAGTTGAGCACTTCCACACTGGTTTATTCACAACTGGGGTAGAAGCAGAGTTGGATTTTTTTTTTCCTCTTCTTGCTAAGAGACAAATGTTGGTGGTCACTTAGGAGGAAGAATAGTCCCTGCAGCAGGTCCTGCAGAGCTTTCAGTCCGAAGGCAGCCAGGGCTGACCCCAGGCAGGTTGCCTGGGGAGGTGGAAGCAGCACTGCTGCCCAGAGCATGGAACACTTTGACTCCGTGTTGGTGTGAGTTTGTACTTGCGCTCCAGAGCCGCCTTCTTTGTTTCTTCAACAGTTAAACCTTTGATATCAAACCTGGGCTTCTCTTTCAGCAAAGCACTGAATAAAGAGTATGAAGAGTATGTTCTGACCGTGGGTGATTTTGATGAGAGAGTTTTCCTGGGAGCTGATGCTGAAGAAGAAATTGGCACTCGAAAATTCCCTGCAGATGTGCTAGTAGAGAAAACAGCAGCACGAGCTCCCACAGAGTGTCACCTGCAGCAGCATTTTGAAAAGGTGATTCATTTAACACATCAGTCTCACTTGAAGGACTCGGAGTTTTCCCATCCTTACACACACTTTGAATTATTGAGGAGACTTGGAATTTCTTGAACTTCCTCCTGAGAGGAAGGTGGTGAATGCTGTTTGCAGGCTCCAGTACTGTCCTGCTAAGGAGAAATGCTGGTGATGTCTTTCCTGTGGAATTTATTGTATAATTATTCCTTAAACTGGATGAGAGCACTTTCATGTGTTTAGTCTGGTTTTGTCCAAGAAAAACCTGTACGTAGGTAATAGCTAAATATATAGGTCTTACAGTTTTGTTCAAGCTCCATAATCATGCCACAAAACCTTGACACTGGAGTAATTTATTTTGTTTTCCCAGTGTTTCCTTTCTTAGGATAGGAAAGATCATCTTTTTTATTCTTCTGCAGAAAATAACATTCACAGCATAAACCTCACCAAACTGTCTCTTCATTACAAAAAGTAGCCTATTAACAGAGTAATGTTTCACTGCATTTAAAAATGTACGATGTATTTAATGAAGTTGGCATGCAGGAAAATGCTTGATTGCTTTTGGATAAGGAGAAAAATAGTGCTGAATGTGTGAAAGAACCATATGCTGTTTGATTTACTTGTCTATTAAAAAATAAGAATTCTTATTCCAAGATGCTAGTGGTGGTGTAAGTGAATCCTATGGCTTAGCTTTTTCTGCCAAGTATAAGTGTATTTCGTATTCAGGCAAATTAAAGACAGGGATGTGGAGTGGGTTTTAGCAATTCTGAGCTTCAGTTTCTGTAATATAACAATATTGCTATTAATGCATAATGGCTGCAGGCTTAACCTTTTCTCATTATTTGCTGGGTATCATCAGAATGTTGTCTGCTCTGATAATTAAATCCAAAAACTGTGTCACTTCCAGAGAGTAGGATACAAATAGGTAAGTGCAGTCCACACAGCTCCATCTGCTCGGTGCTGCATCATCCTTTGGATAAAGGAAGGCTCGAGGTCTGCCTGGACAGCATTTTCCAAAGAATATTTTCCTGTGGACCTCTCCTGGGCAGCTCTGCCACCCACTCCTTGTGTCACACAGCTAATGCAGTCAGGGACTGAGAATGGAAGCATGTGCTTCCTCATCCTGTATTTTTCAGTGTTCAGATGATCTTAAAAAATTACAGGCTTTAAGATTTTAGGTCTTGATTTACTGTATTTTATTTTTTAAAACCCTTTGAGTTAATTTTCATCTGCATGAAGATTTGTTATATTTTGTATTTATGGAGTCCTGGGAAAACTTTGGCTCATTTTCAGTCAGTTCTGAGCTGGCAGGTTTGATGAACCCTCACATAGTGTACTGGTGGTGTAATTTTAGTCTTTGGAGGGATTTTGCAGGAGATGCTCATTTGAAAGGTTATTGAAACTGTTTTGTTGGCTGATTTTACTTGTTGTCTTTCTCTGTGTGACAGAAAAGATCATTTGCACCTTCAACTCCACTGACTGGCCGACGATATCTGCGAGAAAAGGAAGGTGTCATCACTCCTGTGGCTTCAGCCACTCAGAGCGTGAGCCGCTTGCAGAACATGGTGGCTGGGTTGAAAAATGCACCCAGTGAACAACTTACAGCTATTTTTGAGTGAGTGTGTCCACTTCAGCTGCTCTCATACACACAGGAACTGACCTTCTGGCTTTTTTTGTTCGGTGCAGAGTACTTAGGTCTGTGTTTCTGTAGTATTTCTTGTTGAAAGTCTATTTTCTAGATGATCTCATCTGGAGAAGGATGGCTGAACACCACCCTCCCATCTGACTTGTCACCACCATTGTATTAATGGAGACTCAGCTTTTGATTGTGTTAGTTTATCTGTTTGCTTGAAAGCCAAATGCCTTTTTTGTTTATTTATTTGGATTTTAAACAAGTATGGCTCTAATAAAAGATGTGGTAACTGTGTTGTCAGAGGTTTTGGAGGAGGGCAGAAATGTTAGAATCGACAAGCTTTAGTGTTGGCCTTCAACTTGGGAAGATAAAACTAAAAGCAGTGTACAGATTTCCCATTTCTCCTTCCTACTACTTCAGGATATCTTAATCTAACCCTGTAGCACTTGTATGAGCCTTGCAGTGACCCTGGTTACTGTCAAAGCTGATCTCTTGTGTAGCAGCAGCTGTGCTTTCCCTGTTGGTTGTTCTGGTGGCTGTTCCCTGAGCTCTCTTCAGCTCACTGCTTTCCTCTCTGAGCCTAGCTCATAAAAAGCAGTAATTGAATAGTAAATACCTGTAAAGATGGGTGTTTGCTTAACATCTGCAAGTTAAGGCCTTGCTGTATTATACTGTAAGGTCTCCAGATGTGTTTTTATTAATCAGAATGGACATTTAGTATTAGGACTTAATATTTGAAGTATGAAAGTAATTTTTGTAAAATAACCATCATAAATAGGTGAAAAATATTACGTGCAGTTCTCATCTTTGGAGTTAATGTATATTTTGAAAGTTTTCGTAGCACTAGTTCTTCAAATTTTACAACTGCTCAGCAGGATGCGTTTGTTTTGAATGTTTCTTTGATTGTTTTTTAAGGACTGATATTATTTATATTACACAATTAAGACATTAAAGTGTCTGCAATCTCTAATGAAAAATGTGTTTGTTCCAAGTAATAAACTAGTCTGTCAGGAGAGAGGTAAATATTAAAATGAGAAAAAAATTGAGTAAACCTCTTGTAAGAGTTGTGATGAGTACTTTGCTCATACTGGACATGAGTTCAGCAAGCACTAGGATATGTACTGTGTGATTGGGAGAAATGGAAGGAACTGTAGTTTGGACTGTGTAATATTCTGTGCTTTTTAGTATTTTCTTTTTCAAATTAAAATTCCACGGAGACGGCTTTGAAGTTAATTAGAAGGCTTTGTTCAAAGAAACCTTAGTTGCTTTCAGTTCTGGCTTTTCATAATAGTTTATTGTCTTAAGTTGACATCAGTGGCAAACCACTGTCCTCTAAAGCAGTTGCTGGAAGATCTGAAAGCTTTCAGAGAGACCATCTCTAGCCAGAGATTCTCTGGCCCATTTTTATGACAGTGACTGTCTGAAGTTCACCAGTTTCTCTCTGTCTTGGTAGTAAATGGGAAGATGTTGGCTCTTCACTCTAAGCTTTTCTGTACTCCCTCAGACTGAGCCTGGCTTGTGTGGTCTCGTGGATGCATTTGGTTGCTTGTTGCCTTTTGCAGCATCCTCACTACTGCCTTGCTCTCACCAGATCCTTTTTCTCCTGAGTGTGCTGCTGTAGCTCTTCCTTTCTCCTGCATTTGTTCTAAGATCTCCATAGCCTCCCTAACCTTGTTAGGAAAGGAAAAAAGGACACAATATTTGTGTGGTTTATGTTTTCCTCTGTCTGTGTAATACAGGTTATTGCAGATGAGGAATGTCCAGTATAATTAGCTTCCCTTTTTATTTTGGTGGTATGTTTTTTTGTTGTTGTTGTTGTTCTTGAGTTGTTTTTTTTTTTTTTTTAAACTGGGTATTAATTTATACAAACAAGACTTTCTCTTTGCCTTCTGCTTCAGGTCCTGTGCCCGCAGCCCCATGGAAAGCATCATGAGCAGAGTGAAGGAGATTGGTGAGACCTTCTGCTGCAGCTACACTCAGTCAACAGATGAGCAGCCAGGCTCTCATATAGGTATGGAGTGAAAGGCATGGGATGTTTCAAAATACTAAACCAGGGCAAATAGAATGCATACATACACTCTTGTCTAGGTACTTAATGCAGTGGAGCTGTTTTTATCCCAGAACATACCCAAGCGGAAAACTGTTGCTGTCAAACAGAACACAGTAAAAAATAAAAATTTATGACAGAGTAAACCCAAAGCTGCAGTTTGAACTAGGATAACCAAGAGATAATGGAAAAGCAGCTCTTAACAACTGTAAACTTGCATTCTTCTTGGCTTCAGAATCTAAAGGGAACTGAATACAAATAGAAAAGTTATTATAGCAACATTGCGAAACTACACCAGAAGAAATATTAAGTAATCCTGTAAAACATTTATCAAATTTCATGCTGTGCTTGGGCCTAGCGGATTTCTGAACATACTTTTTGGGTTTGCAAAGTGTGTACATACACACCCACGGTATTTTCTTGGATCAGGACAGGTTGCTCAGTTTAGTTTTAAGACCATTTGTGCCAGTGGCATTGGACTTCATCTCTGTTGGTTTTAAATTTCAGATTTTGCTGTAAACAGATTAAAACTGGCAGAGATCTTGTACTATAAAATCTTGGAGACTGTAATGGTGCAAGAAACACGGAGACTGCATGGGAAGGATCTGACTGTAAGTAAAGAATTGTCTGAAGAGTAGACCACTTTTTGTAACTGTTTCTCAGAGTTTGTCTTCAGGCAGTTTCAGGACAGAGCACTGTAAAGCACTCTGTGTATATTGTTAATATTTAAAAGGGGAAATACATGGGAGGTGCCTAAATGTGTTTTTTTCTAGTGTTAAAACCAGTATAACTGGCATAACTAGCCATCTGAATTTGTGGTGCCTCCTAGAATCACAACTTTTGACTTTTATTCTCTTCTTGATCCAATGAACAAGATCAATACTTCATGTTAGGCAGCACTGCATTTGCTCTGCTTTGTGGTGCACAATAAGGAGGCCAGGTGATTTGTCCATAGTATGCAAAGTGGGGTGGGTTTGGTGCCGTTACTCTACATCTAGTCTTCTAAATTCCCCTGTAAAAAAGAGGAGGTTGTGAACAGTGGAAAAAAGCAGGTTCTTTCACAAAATTCCGACTTCCATTTCCCCGGCATGAGACCGCTGCCATTTTGTGTCTCCTCAGGCTCTCCTGGAGCAGGATCTGTTCCACCGCTCCCTCCTGGCGTGCTGCCTGGAGATCGTGCTCTTCGCCTACAGCTCCCCTCGCACCTTCCCCTGGATCATTGAAGTGCTCGACCTCAGGCCCTTCTATTTCTATAAGGTAAATAGCCTCTGACTCAGGACAGTATCTGTATTAAAAATGGCATGTTACTGGACTGAAAGGGTGATGCTCTTCCTCCCTAGGGAATCGGGTAAGAGAAGGACTGATGTTATTGTGCACTGGCTGTCCTGAAATAATATTACCTGGAATATGTAATGCCAGAGCTGAAGCTGAAATATAAAGCAAAAAAATCCATTTTGTAAATGGTACTGAACTGTAACATGCTGTCAATCAACTTTTAGTTCTTAATCTGTATACACTGTTAGTAGACTAAAGCATTCGAGCTTATATTTTGTTGATACTCTGTTTCTGGTAATTTTTTTAAACACATTCACCCCACCTCCAATGTAATTTTTTTCAGTCCTTTTATCACCTATCCATATGCCTCTAGTTTTTGCTGGACACCTCACAGCTTACCATGAATAAATCAAGTAGTTCT